ATAAACATATGTACCAGATGCTTAGGTTTCGAAACTATCAGGGAACCTTTTTATGGTGACGCGATTCATCTTAATTCATTTAAGGCTATGCTAGGACTGTTGACTACGTTTCACACAATGAAATGAAAAGAAGGCCTCTTGTAAATAAATTTCGCTCAACCTTTCGCTCCAAAATGCGGTTTTATCGTCCGGGCTGGCCTACACTTTCGACCCGCAACGGGATTCGAAGTAAGGTCGTGCATACCAATCTGTAACGCTACCACTCCTCGACACAACGCCGGATCCGGTGGGTAAGAGGAGAGCTTTGACTCATAAAAAAGACCTATTGAGAGTCTCAAAACCTACTCATAATGTATTTAGTAATACCGTTCATTGTAATGGCAAAACATGCTTACCATATGAGCATTAGTCTAACAAGCTCTTCAGATGCTCGGGGATGGTTTCATGTCAGAGATGGGAGATATTCAATTGGGAGACCGTATTACAAAAGCCAAGACGAAACTATAATTCTTAATTGAGTTAGAATAGGGACTTTGAACAGTGGGCACTAATCAAGTATATCAAGAATCCATATGAAATAAGAGCATCACAACTCACATGGCTTATTTACATTTTCGTTCGTGCTGCGCTCTTCGTCAACCCAGATCGAAGTGCTCATGATGACCTCAGTGGCTTCAGAACCTCAACCAGCCTCCATATTTGAACCCATCATCAAAGCGACCACGATTGACCGTCATCCCACGAAACAAGTCAACTGGCATACCGAACCGACTGCTCAACTGCCCTCCATCAAGATCAACTTAACTGGCGGCTGTATCGAACAGAAGGCCTCTCCTCCACCGAGGCCAATGTCTCCACCGGCTCTGTCACCACTTGATTATCAAACTTTCCACCAAGACGATGAATTAGCGCAACCTGACCATCTCCGACGGGCCTACACCCCCATGACTTCAGCTGCTGCAGATCCAGGGTTGCAGAATCGTAGGTTGCAAAAGCCACCGCGTTCACCAGGGCTCGGCTGGCTGCAACCAGCCACCAACGATGAGGCAGCCCTCGAACTAAGCGACTATGAGAACCTGGGCGGACCTAGGATAAGAGTAATTCATTTTCTATCTCTCGGTTTTTTCCCTTTAGTGCGTACGCACTTAAGTGTACTAGACCTAGAATAGTGAAAATAAACAATTTAAATAATATAATCGTACTACCTGATTGAATAATTCAGTAGTAGATATATAAATTTACAACTAAAAATTCATTTTTCATTTAATAGGTTTTCGAGACTATCTTTTCTTATGCATTATGTGATACTCCTCCTGTGAAGTTGACAGGAGAGTGTACTTACAAAATTCAGTGACCATATATTTCCACGGTGTACTATGTAGCCGATATCGCTCAAATGATTTTTTTCCTCGGCTATCCAGGAAGGAGCTTCTATTTAGAGCTTTAATTCTCTCCAAACGATTTGGTAGGGCTCTTGTCGTATTCCTCTTTAAAATACCGCTTTTTATTTTCTAAACTTAGCCTTCATCAAAATAATTTTCCTATACCCATTAATGAAGGGGCTGGGGCTAACTCGAGCAAAACAAATGACTACTGGTCCAGCACCTTCGAGTGCAAGTATCATATCTCAACTTTTGTCGGAAGTAAGCCTCAAATAAGCCTACTCACTACTTGTAGAAGCAAAATACTTGGGCACTGTCAAATGCGAACTACTATACTTTATGAATAGACTGGCTTTTGATGAAAAGACCACCTGATATGACGTTTCGCATATTTCATTCTAATAAGACAATTGAGTTGATTGCAATGCCCACAATGCTTTCGGATAGAAGGGATACTAGAAAGCATCCTCTATACGTCTGATTAACCTCGCAAAAGCATCCCTTACTTACTCACCTTACTTCAGCAACAATTAGGGGCATAATAACAAATATTCATTATCTATTACTTTGCCGACCCAGTATCCGCTCAACTAATTTTTAAAAGGAGCTGGGGTGCAACTAAACTTATTAATAGGTAACATTTTTTATAATCTCAAAACTGCAAGACCAGAAGAAGAAATAGGGAA